TTTTCTGCATCCAGGACCCTTGAGAACGTGGCATATTACTTGGCATGTTTGTAACCTGGCAATGCTTTGGGATGATCCCTTTCCACACATTTAGTTCAGGTTAAATATAGACTTTTATTCTCAGGAACGCCTTCATGATCACAGTCAAGGGAGGTAGAGAGTTGTGCCTAATCCGAGTAGATTGTTGGGTGTGGATGCATGAAATAAGCCCACAGTGCAAATCGTGTACACAGTGTGACAGCCTCATTTTGTGTTAAATTGGATGCAAACTGTAATTAGAAAGTAGGGATGGATGGCCCTAGTTCTATTCACATTTACCAGAACTGGGCTGGGTGCGACTGCATGAAATAGGCCCACAGTGTAACTCATGTGGACACAGCGTGACAGCCCCATTTTGCATTAAATCTAATGCAAACTGTAATTAGAATGGATGGATGGATGGCTCTACTGCTATTCACATTTGCCAACAACGTACCAGAAAAAACACATATCCTCTCTACTGAGGTGGAGAAATCTCTGACTAGGGATAATGAGATAGGTTTTAAGGTTATAGTTTGGGGACTTGCTCCAATGTAGTTGGCCCCTACCAACAACACTACAAACCCAAGTTATGAATATGAAGCAATATGAAATCTGATCTGAACCTAAGGAACCCTGAGATACACCTGTAGGTCTCAAACACTGTTCTACACATTGAGACAGGGGTAGACAGTCATCCAATATTCAAAGCCCCAGCAGAGCACACTGGCCATAGGCAGGTGATGACCACTTGCACAAAAGCCAAATCCCCCACTCTCTCATTAATCTCATAGACAAGTTGTTGGCTTAAAAGTATACACTATGTAGAGCTTACTAGGACCAGTTGCTATTGAGTTGATCCCAACTCCTACAACCCCATGTGTATCAGAGAACTGTCTTCATAGGGTTCTAAATGACTGATTTTGGGGGAAGTATATCTTCTGGCCTTTTTTCCCAAGGCACCTCTGGGTAGACGAGCTTCTAACCTTTCAATTAAGATAAAAACACATTGTTTGTACCACTTAGGGACTGTGTGTAGAGTTTACCTTAGATAAAATTGATGGCATATGAAATTGATGGTGCACTTTGGTAAATCAAACCTTCTGCTCTCAGCTTTCTGATGTGAGGCATGTGAGCCAAGCGTTGCAGAAGGCTGGGATGTTTAAATAGTGCAAGCTACTGAGCAGCTTCCCCAAGCTGGGATCATAAGCCAGAATTGGTGAGGCCAGGTTGCCTCAAAGGACTGCTTTGCTCAATCAGATTTCAGGGAAGGCAAACCAAAACTCCAAACACAAGAGAAAAAAGAGTAAGACGTTTCCCCTCCTTATCATTTCTGTTGCTGCTTGTCTTCCCTATTTAGCCTCTCTGTTCTGTTTTTTAGCAGTTTGACTAAGAGACTGGGTTATGGAAATGAGTCTGATATAGGTTTCTATTTGGTGTGTAATTTAGGAAAAGCAGGACATGCAAAGACAGAGGGGCCAGAGTCTGTGAAACCTCTATTACTTACTTCTTCATTTTATTAGCTGTCATCAAGCCAGCCCTTGACTTAAGGTGATGCCATTCACATTGGAACAAAACACTGCCGGGTCCTGTTATTAGTTGTGATTGGATGACAGGGCTTTCATTGCCTGATTTTTGGAAGTAGATCATCAAGCTTTTCTTCTTAGTCTTAGTCTGGAAGTGCCACTGAAATCTGACCAGCATCATAGCAGCACGTAAGTCTCCACTGACAGAGGGATATTCACTGTGCAGGAGGTACACTGGTCATAGTGAAATTGGGTCTTTGGCATGGGAGCATGCTACCACTGGCTGAACCACCAAGGACTTCACAGTGCTTCCTTAGTACCTTATTAAGTGAGTAAAATAAGTCAAGACTTCAGAATTTATAGCTCTCTAGCCAGGACTTTCTACTGGTATTCCTGAGACAAGCTATAGAAGTTGCCAGTCAATATTCTTCCTGAGCGTGAGAATGAACACCCCATTATTTCCACTGCAGGATCACCGTGAGGCGGTGCTTTACATCTAACCAGGAAAGTCATGGTGAATAAGAAATCCTTTCAAGGCTACTTCCATTTAGTATTTTCACACTTGGGATTGAGGACAGATGCAATTTCTCTATTGAAAAATCAGGGCTGTCCTGCCTACTGAGATTGGCTCCTTCCTTCTTCCCAAACAAAAATGTATCATTGTTTTCCCGTCAAGCCTGCAGAATTATTTGCTCTGGAAACATGGTGTTCTGCAAAGGGAACATTAAAGTGGAGAGTCAACAAGAGGAACTGAAGCATTCTGGGAAGTATGAGCCAACACTCCACAGGGTCAAAAGGATAAAAACATCTTTCCTCTTGCAGGCAAGCCTCTGCCTTCTCATGCTGACTACCCTCGTCCTGCAACTTCAGTGCAAATTTTTAATTGCACGTTGGTTTCTTTCCCACACCTGACAGCTTTCCCATCAATTGTGGGCAACTGGTGCTGGTTAAGGAGACACAAATGAATCAGTGTTAAACTAGGAAGCAAATTAAATTGGGTAATCTGTTCACCGAATCCAGCTCCACAATGGATGCAGCCTCCAAACAGAAGTTATTGCTGGAATCTGGCTTCTGTGTGGTATACACAGTGGTTTGTGCTCCACCACTAACTTAAAGGTTGACAGTTTGAATCATTCAGTGTCACTGCAGAAGAAAGGCCTGGAGATCTGCTTCCATAGAGACGACAGCCAAGAAAACCCTCTGGAGCTCATTCTACTCTGTAGCATGTAGAGCTGTCATGAGTCAGATGGGACACAAAGACCACAGGTTTGATGTTTGTTTAGTTGGTAAGCTGAAGATGGGGGGTCAATACCCTAGCTCCCAATTTTTAATGTAGGGTTTGCACATGGCAGACACAGGAACACGTATCTGCAGTTCAGTCTTCCCTGAAGAGCTTGGGGTTCTCCCTATTCTTGCTCCAATGATAGCATTTATGTTCTAACTCAGAGAGAGTCTAGGAACCTGCAGCAAATGTGGTTTTACTACATGGTATTTCGAAATGATTGTGAACTTGATTGTTCTGAGACTGAACATTCATTTTCTGATCTCCAGTCCTCCCTGTGGTCTAAGACGGGCCACAGATTTCTGGGCAAAACAACAATGAATATGGCAAAATCCCAATACATGTGCAGGTAACACTTCAAGGCCTGGTACAAATGCCACCTCCTCCGAAGTCTCCTAAGCATCACAGACAAAAACCACCTCTAACATAGCAATTTTTGAGTTCAGAGGAGCCCTGGTGGTGCTGTAGGATAAACATTGGACTACTAACTGCCAAGGGTGACAGTTCAAACCCACTAGCTGCTCCATGGGAGAAAGATGAAGCTTTCTGCTCCTGTGAAGATTTATAGCCTCAGAAACCAAACACGAATCAGAATCGACTCTATGGCAGTGGGTTTTATTGCGGGTTCGGGCGCTAGCACACATAGTTATTAGGGCTCTGTGTCTTCCTCCTCACAGACTGATAGCTCATCAGCGCACCAAGCTCATCTTTGTCCACTTAAGGCTTCTCCCATTTTCATGGCCATCAGAGATGTCTGTTCCCATCAGCATTTTTAGGACAGTAGAGTCTACATTTAGTGGGGAACAATCCTGCATCTATCCAGCCTCATGAAATCACATCAAGGCAGCAAGCCAGTGAATCCACATGCCCTGGGCACTCATCGTATGCCAGGGGGCAGTCTGGGCTAGAGGGTGACGAGGGAGCTAGTCATGTCACACAAGTCCCCCTTATATGAGGCCTATTCCCAGTGGATGACAACACTGCTACACGTCACACTTTCATACCTTTTTAGGAAACCTTATTTTCTTTCCCAAAAGTGAAAGTAGGCAATGGGATTAGCAAGTTACATTGATTTTGAATGGTACAGTTCTCAGTTTGATGATCTGGAAACTATGGTAATTCTGGTTTTTGGAAACAAAAACTTCACAATCAAAAATCTAAAATCTTTTAAAAAGGAACTGGAGAAAGTAAAAAATTCAATTTGTAAAATCATTTTATTGGTATAAATATACATATGAATAAAATCCCTTCAGCCTGTAGTGTAAGTGAATATTTGTGAAATGTCTTAAAAAGTAGTATTTTGATTTTTTTTTTTTTTTTACAGAGGGCTTTTCTCATAAAACCACACATTAAAAGCTAATATGCAGACAGAAATTAAAGGCCTTAAAAAAAAAAAACCATGAATATTCATAAAACCTCATTCCAAACAACTATGTACATGATCTGGGCACAGGGTAGAATCAACTGCGGGGGGAGGGGACTGGGGGTTCATTCATGCTTTTCCTTGCTGTGCTTGTTGATGTTCTGCAAAAGTCACTGATCAAGCCTTTCCGTGTACAATTTCCACATCCGGAAGGAAGTAGTTCCCCATGGGAGAATGTAAAAACCATACCCACAATCTAAGATATATAATTTATACAAGTGATTTATTAGTGTGCTCTGTTAATATAATTACAATGTGCAATTGCATACATCAAGAATAAATCGCTTTATCAGGCCATGGGCAGATTTGACACAGGTACATTCAGCAGCACTTCACACAGCCTGCTGGGTGGTGTTTCCTTGTGTGAGAGTGTGTCTAGTCACGTTGTTGACCTCCCCAAACTCCTCTGGCAGGGCAATCTGTAGCTGCCGCAGAGAAATTCAAGTAGGGCCCATGGAATTAATTGCTGGCTTTCATTGAAGGCATATGAAGGAATGGTTACAAATCAAAAGTCAAGGCTTAGGCGGGGGGTGGGGGAGGTAAGCCTAAACAAATGTGCTTTGATTGCCTAAGGAATGGATTTGTTTCTAAACTTAAAGAACAAAAACAAAACAAAACAAAACAACAACGGGGGAATGAGACGGAAAGGAAAAGAAAGCACCAGAAGAAGAGCTCCTGGAAGAAGCGTTGACCTTGGCTTCTCTCTGATGACAAGAGCACCCTGCAAATGAGACTACAGCATGGGTGGCCTTTACACAAAAATAAACTCTCTTTCTGCTTCTTCTCCAGAGTCACTAGACTTGCTGCCTTGACGGCCATCTTTGCTGACAGGCCGTTGCTTTTGTTCTGGATACTCATGGGGCTGCGGACCCCAGCTTCTCCTTGACACTGAAATAGAAAGGGAAGGGAGTCACACATTTAGTAACAAGGTAACACAAGTGACTTGTTCAACAATGGGGAGAGATGCAGGGGCCTTGAAAAAGTGGGGAGTTCGGGATGAACAATCTCAAAAACAGCATAACCAGTGATGCTTAGTGACTCTAGACAGAAATGGGAAACAGACCAATGAAAAGAAGCAAATTTAAGGAAAGACAAAAACAAAACCAAAAAACCATAGGCTGTCTATGAAAGGCGAACCTCTCATAGATGTGGTCTAGGCCCTGCGAGGGACAACCCCCTCGAGGGTGTGGACACTGGGAGAGCAGAGGAGATGGCCAGGAAGGAGGAGCAATCTGAAGCTGGTCTGCACCAGGTGCCCTCCTCCGTCACAGCCAGCCCCTTGCTCAGCAGAGACAGGACAAACATAGCCTGGAGGTGGCTTCGGCTGGACCGACACTCCATTTGATGCCTTCTGCAGATGACTTGAGATTTGTCATCTTTGCTTTAGGCACAGGACACCAGGAAAGACCCCAAGAATCTCTGTCAGACTGGTCTATGTCTCATAAAACCTCAGCTCTCCTCTCTAAGATATTGTCAAGTCTGTGGAAATTAGTTAAGTATTTGTCTCTGGTACACTGAGTCCTTTGGAGCCAACCTCCAGGTGTTTGTTGTTAAGTGCTATTGAATCAGTCCCAACTTACAGTGAGCCTGTTTAGAGTTTCCGAGGCTTTACATCTTTGCCTTATCTTTTTCCCGCAGAGTGGCTGGTGGGTTCCACCCGCATCCCTTGTGGTTCCCAGTCCAGTGCTTATCGTATGGACCCAGGGCGCTCCCAACTTCCAGGTAATAACCATCATTACTGTCTATTGTACACAGAAGTACAATAGCTCCACTGAGACTTGACAAAGAAATGATGGGAGGACAACTACTATCCAATATGCCTTGATTACATGTCAGGTACTCTCTGTATTATTATTACTACTACTCACATAACTATCAATAAGGTAGGATTTGCAAAACCAGGACTTACAACTACATTTGTTCTCCAAAGCCCATGTGCTTTCCGATGAGATCACAGTTTCACTGTTACTCTACCTTGGGAAAAGGTTCAAATACTTTACTCTGGTGCAGCAATTAAGGGCTAAATAGGCACCACTTAATTCAAAAATATTAAACCCACACACTTCATGCAACTTGAAAGAAGAGCGCAGCGCTCTCATCATTTAGTTCAAATGTTCCAACCAGGAACACGTGCTTCAGTCCTGGAAAACCTGCAGGATTCACTTGTTGCTTCTAATCATTTTGATTTTAGGATTCTGCTAAAAAAAATTTTTTTTTTAAATCATCTAGCTAGGAGCTGGCTATTTAAATGTTAAACCCACTAAAAAGTGTTCCAGGAAGTAAAAAAAACAAAACTCATTAACTCTAATAATCGAAATGCAAACACAACGAAGTACTTTCCCTTGCCAATTCGATTGTCAGGGTCAGATTCTGACTACTAGAAAATAACAAATTAAAAATTTTAGTTAGCAACATTAAAATTATCTCAAATTCTGAAAATAAACCTTAATTAGTAACCTAAGCATTGGGGGGAACAAAGGTATGTAAGCTCTAATAAATATTTTGCTCTTTATCACAAAATCAATTTGACAGTAATCTTCAAAGAATCCTTTAAAAGTTCTTAATTCTATTTATTCTGAGAACAAAGACAGGGTGAAGTAGGACATATCTTGATCTCAAAGACACTTTGCAGTAAATCTAACCTCAAAACAAAGAGGTGCCTGCTAGAAAAAAATTTTTCATTGACTTTTAAACCCAAATAAGTTGTGTTTCTATATCAAGAGACTCAAAAGAAATTTTTCAACACTACTGACTCCAGAGAAGAATCTTCAGAGCAAATATATTTGCTCTAGTTCTTAAGTTTAAAAAATGATAAAGCTTTTTATCTTTCCCAATATCTCAGCTTCCTGGAATTCCCAGGTCTAATTCATGTTATGTGCTATCACACATCAGTGTACTCTCTAAAATGAGAAAATTCAAAAACGTTCATATAACAGATAAAAATGGAGATAACACTAAGGGCCAGGGTCATTCCAGCAGGTCTGATAATAATTCAGAGAAATCCCACATAGGAGTCTTTCTGTAAAGCAGAGTGTCCTCCAGTCTCCATTCAAATGTTGATTCTCTGGCTTCAAGTCAGAGTACTTCTGGGTCACCCAGGCTGCACTGGGGACAGGGAGGATAATGCAGACTCCTTCAAGTTAACAAGCTAGTTTCTGGGTTAGTAATTAGGTAATAGACCTTATACCCATTATGAAATCAAAATATGCAATTTGTCCAATACTGTTACTAAGAATAATGATTTTCTTTCTAGAGGGCTGTCAAAACATTTCACTATTGCTGGTGACAGTTTCAAAATTCAATCTATAACCAATTGTGAATGTGAATATGTTAACACTACCAGTACCAGGTTGACATTATGGTAGGCACCACACATAGGAAAACAGGGCAGTTGAGAACAAGAAACTGGTCATAATTAATAGAGTTGAGTTTGGAAGCCGAAACACCGGTCTTCCAGCTTCTTGCTTTATAAGTCTGGACCACTAGTATAGGACACCTTTGTAGGGTGAAGGCTCCCTGTCAAGTGTCTTTTCCACTCATTGTTGGAGTCCTGGTGTGGTGCCATAGGATATGCACTTGACTGCAAGGCTGGTTTGAACCACAAGGTTGACAGTTCAAACTCACCAGCCACTCCTCAGAAACCCTATACAGGGTCACTATGAGTTGGAACTGACTAAATAGCACTTAACAACAGCTCATAGCAACCCTGTATAGGTTTCAGAGGAGCAACTGGTGGATTTGAACCACAAACTTTGTGGTTTGCAGTCAAGTGCTTATCCTACAGTACCACTACACAGTATAATTGGATTGTATGCTATTGTTGGTTGGTTATATGCCGTGGAGTTGGTTCCAACTCATAGTGACCCTGTACAGGGTTTCCGAGGCTGTAAATCTTGTAAGTGAGCAGAAAGCCTCATCTTTCTCCTGCGGAACAGCTGGTAGTTTCAAACTGCTGACCTTGCGGTTCACAGCCCAATTTGTAACCCCTACGCTACCAGAGCTCGAATGTATACTATTAGGATGCTAATTACTGAAGTTGGCTTGGTCAAGCTTCCATTAATGGACTGTCCAAAGAAAACTGTTTGTTTCGAAGTTAAAACTCCAGAACGTATTTTAAGCATAATTATGAAATTCAGATTTTCTGCTAATTCTGATGGATCTCCTCCTAAGGCAGCCTGATTTAATGCTTGACTTTATACAGGGGGAAGACAATCCAACTGTATTACTATTTTTCAAGTATTTGTATGTGTAGTTCAAGTGCTGGAGCATATATATATATGTTTCTGTGCGTGTACTTATTACCACTCCACCACATACCACTGAAATTCATTTATATGAGTTATATTATATGAAAAGATACTCAAGTAAGTGAGTTGGTTGTTTACGCAACACAGATATTCAATGAATATTCACATCCCCTCTATAAAGGAAGTAATTGGTGCAGAGAGGCTCAAATTTGAAACCTGTCATTCTTGAAGATGATTTAACTTTGCATTTGTACATAAATAAGGAGCTCTGGTAGCGTAGTGGTTATGAAATCTGGCTGCGAACCTTAAGGTCAGCTGTTCAAAACTACCAGCTGCTCTGCAGGAGAAAGATGAGGCTTTCTACTCCTGTAAAGATTTATACCCTCGGAAACCCTGTACAGGGTCGCTATGGGTTGGAACCGACTCAATGGCACTTAACAACAACAATGCTAATTTTAATGGGTCTGAAAAGTGCCTACAAAGTCAGCATTAGATACATAAGAAAATTTCCACTCTTCCATTTTAAGTTTCTGGACCTCTACATTTCCCAAGTGGAAAACATTATGAAAGCCTTAAAATGGGTCCAGTAGTTGGGCCTGATGTTTCATGCTTTTTTTGGCAAGAGCCAAAATTGCCAACCTTACTGTCCAATTTCTCTTGAAAAACTCATGTCGGGAAAGTAGAACCATGATCTGGTGGGAAAAGAACAGAGCAATGGCTTACATATTGTAAGCCATAGCTAAGTATTTATGGACTACAGGTTAGCTCACGGAAGAGGCAAATGATATAAAATCTAAGGCCCACACAGTCTCTTCAAGAAAAGAGGTTTATGCTAATGGAAACATCACAGTATGTAACATAGGAAAAATTTTAAATGTAGTTACAAATATATCTAACAAAAGAAAGTAGTAAACACTTTACCTGCCAAAGCAATAGTAAAATAGTCACACAATTAAGATAGAAATAATCACGGTAAAAATATGCAGCATGATTTGAGAACAATAGCTTCTGTTGGTTTCACGAATACATGATTTAGGAAAACAAGAAAGTTGTTTTAGGGCCAACAAACCTGCTTAAAAGACTTAAAGGAAAAAACACACATGGTTTAATTTAATTACAAGTGTCTTACTCAAAGCTATTTGTTAGCCAGAACGATTTAGAAAGCAGACTGCTACGTTGTTCTCAAAGGCGAAGACAGTTAAGTGGTAGGAATCGGCACTAACAAAAGAAAATTAAATTATGAAAGCATAAAAGCAATTTAATTGAAGTTCCTCTGTTGTTTTTTTAAAAAATACTTTTTGTGCCTGTTGGGACTTCAAGAAATCCAGGTGGGGCAGCAAATACAAGATGGTCCTATTTATTTCCTTTAGAATTTGGCAGAACCCATCACAAAGAGAATTTTAAGTCAAAAAGGTCATGGGGTCATGGAAAAATAGGAAATACAGACTTCTCCTGGCTTGTTTATGGTTTGGCTCATCGCTGTTGTTGGTTCTACTACTTTCTACTCTAACTCAATATTTTACTGAATGATCACTGGTATTTGGGGTGGGCTCTGACCCTAAAGATTATATAAAGTGCTTTTCATAGCCTCTTTAAGAAGAAATATTTTATCAAGGACACTTTGGTTAAAAATCAAAAAAG